AAGACAAACTTCCTCCTCTTCTTGATCAGGGTACCTGCATGCGTGTTCTGGGGGGCCCCCATCCCCACCATGTTTTTCTTGCTGCTGGGGTACAGCAGGGGCCCCCCGCTGCTCCTTAGACTGCGACAGGGGGCCCCCGGCCCCCCGAAGGTAGCAGCGGCGGAACAGTCTCCTCTCGTGCTGCTGCTGCAGCTGCTGCATCAGATTGTCTCCATCAGCAGACCACCTCAGCCCTGCAAATGCTGCTTTGAAGGGGGGCCCCACCAAGTGACCCTGGGGCCCCGCTGCAAGCCCCCTCACTCGCACTACCGCCCGCAGCCCTATATCTGTCTGTCTGCTGTGGCCCAGGGGGGGGCCCCCCTCAGCAGGAGCGGGGGCCCCCCCCCACATCTTCAAGGCCTCGAACACGCCAGCAGATACATCCCCCACATCGGCTTCTTTTTTCGCTGCCTCTGCTGCTGCAGCAGCTGCTTCAGCAGCAGCAGCTGCTGCTGCTGCTGCTGCTGCTGCTTCGGGATGGCCTGAGCCTGCTGCTGCCTCCTCCGGACCTGCTGCATGCAGCGGCTCTTGGGGACGGCGGAAGAGAGGCACGTTGCAGACAGAAGATAAAACCCAGTTGGTTGCGAGACAACCCCCATCAATAACACTGCAAAGGGCAGGGGGGAGGCCAGGGACAGCACTCAGGGCGCAGCTGCTGCTGGCTACTGCTGCTGCTGCTGCTGCTGCTGCTGCTGCCGTCTCCATAGCTGCTGCAGCCGCACGGTGCTCACACATAGAAGCATCTGCAGAGCTACAAATCTCCCTGTCTTGCTGCTGCCGTTGCTGCTGCTGTTGCTGCTGCTGCTGCTGCTGCTGCTGCTGCTGCTGCAGGTGCTGGCAGTGATGAGTATAGAACGTATTCGATACCCAGTCTCCTACGCAGCGGGAGGGGACAGCAGAAAGGGAAACCTCTTGCAGCACAATGGGCCCTGCTGCATCTTCATGCTGCAGCATTAGCTGATGCTTGAGGTGCTGCTGAGCTGCTGCAGGTGCTGCAGATATGCGACGCTGCTGCTGCTGCTGCTGCTGCGCCCCAAAGTCCACCACCTGCAGCAAAATCTCCCATGGCACCGATGGAAGCCAGCCCCACTCTTTGCTGCATGCATAGTAGCAGCGATTGCTGCTGCTGCTGCTGCTGCTGCTGCTGCTGCTGCTGCTGCTGCTGCTGCTGCTGCTGCTGCAGCTTCTACCGGCGCTGCAGGCGTCTCCAGAAAGCGTGAACGGCGTGCTGCTGCTGTCGACGCTTGGAGACAACCACGGCAGCTGCGCAGCTGCTGTTGCTGCTGCTGCTGCAGCAGACCGTGCGCCTCTCCAGTCATGGGGGCTGCAGATGACTAGAGCAGCAGCAGGGCCCCTTGCTGCTGCTGCTGCTGCTGCTGCTGCTGCTGGATGCGGGTGACCTGCTGCTGCCCACAGCGAGTCTGCTGCTGCTGCAGACTCCGCAGGCCACACACGATTGTCTTTCAACGGCTGAAAGACACAGCACACACACAGTCTAGCCTAAACCCTAAACCCTAAACCCTAAACCCTAGAGCTTCCATGCTAAACCCTAAACCCTCCAAGCTACATGCTAAACCCTAAACCCTCGACTCAAGACCTCAAACACCCTAAAGCCTCCATCCTAAACCCTTAACCCCTACACGCTAAACCCTAAACCCTTAACCTTCATGCCTAAACCCCAACAAAAGCAAAGGGTTTTTGGTGTCTCCTCAGGGCCCCTAGGTCAGCAGCAGTACCTCATCAGCAACGCTGCGGAACACTCTCGCCAGGCCTCCCCCCAACAGCTGCTGCAGCAGCACCGGCTGCTGCTGCTGCTGCTGCTCAGCTCTTTGCTGCTCGATCTGCGGAACTGCTGCTGCTCCTGCTGCCACCGTTGTGTCCCCCCACAGCAGCACAGACTGCCACTGCAGCTGCTGCTGCAGCCACCCATCAACCGCCAGCAGCCGCAGCCCCTCACTGCAGCGCAGCAGCTGCAGCTTCAGGGGCCCCGGGGCCCTGCTGAGGGCATCTGGGCCCTTCTTATCCAACTGCTGCAGAACGCACTCTGCTGCTGCTGCTCCATGCCGCTGCAGCAGCTGATGCTGCAGCAGCAGCACCTGCTGAGACACCCCGACAGGCAAAAAGCCATCGAGGCTGTCTTTCTGCTGCAGCTGCACCAGCAGCTGCAGCTGCCAGACCCATTCCGGTGTCTGTGCCTGCTCTTGCTGCTGCTCCTCCACTTCCTGCTGCTGCTGCTGCATGCTTCTGCTGCAGCAGCACTGACAGCTCCAATGGGCTAGGATAGCTAGCTGCAGGTCAGGGGCCCCGTGCTGCAGCGCTTCAGCAGCAACTCCTCTCGTAGCAGCAAACTGCAGAGACAGGAGAGGGACAATAGCAGCAAGTGCTGCAGCAGAAGCAGAAGACCCTACTCCTACCAGCAGCAGCAGCAACGCCAGCAGTCCTTCCTGCTGCAGCAGCTGCACGCCTGCAGCCCGGCGGCTTAGAACACCTAAGAGCTGCCCATACACCGCAAACAGAGACCTGTGCTGCAGGCCTGCATGCAGCTGCTGCTGCTGCCGTTTGCTGTTAAGATGAAAGAGCCACGTTCCTGGGTCTTCAGCAGCACCTGCTGTACCGACGCTGCTGCTGCTGCTGCTGCCGTTGCTCCATATTGTGCTGCTGGCGAGACTAGACCTGCTGATGCATGCACCTCGGCTGCTGCTGCAGCAGAAGCAGCTCGGTGCTTCCGTGCTGCAGCAGCCCACTGAATAAGCAGATGTAATAAATCTATCTCCGTCTGCTTCTGTGTAGCAGCTGCCTCTGCGGCTGGTGCATGCAATCTGCAGCAGCAAGTCCCCAATCTCCTTCAGCAGCCTTCTCAGGCCGAAGAGGTCTCGCAGCCCCCGGTCAGAAGCTTCTGCTGCTGCTGCTGCTGCTGCTGCTGCTGCTGTTGCTGTTGGTCCTGCCTCTGTTGCTGTTGTTTCTGCTTTTGTTGCTGCTGGAGTTGTTTCCGTTTCTATTGCTGATGCTGCTGTTGTTGCTTCTGCTGTTGTTGGTGTTGTTGCTCTTGCTGCTACAGCTGTCGCTGCTGCTGCAGTAGTTGCTACGGCTGTGACTGCTGCTGCTGTTGCAGTTGTTGCTGCTGCTGCTGCTGCTACAGCGGAGACGGAAGTAGGAAGCTGCACACCAGCGACGCGCTGCTGCTGCAGATGGGGTAAGAGCAGCAGCAGCAGCGCAGCAAGGGCGTGAGCAGCAGCAGGCAAGTATAGGCCCTGGGGGCCCCGCAGCAGAGACATTAAGCATGAAGAAGAGGGCGAGAGAGAGGAGACACAGCGCTCTAGGAAACGCCGGGGGGCCCTCCACGAGGCCTCCACTGGGTCCTTCTGCAGCAACACACCGAGGCCCCCGAGGCCCCGCAGCAGCTGCCGCAGCACTTGCGGCCACTGCCTGCAGCAGCAGCACACGTATAAACCCTACAGCTAAACATAAACCCCAAACACTAAAACATAGAGTGATTCATGCTACAAAGGATAACAAGAAGAGTTTAGGGTTTAGGGTTTAGGGTTTAGGGTTTCGCACCACTGGTCACATTCCTTCGCCTCATTAAGGACACCAGTGGCCTCCAGCTGCTCATCGATGCTCTCTTGGGCTGGGGGGCCCCCTTGGGGGCCCCCCCCCCCACTGCAGTTAACAGAGCTGCGCTGGTGGAGGCCGGCTGGGAGGTGCATAGACACCCGAAGCTGCATGTTCAACTGGCGAAGCCGCTGCAGCAGCAAACACAAGCAGCAGCAAGACACAGGTTGCAGCGGCAGGAATCAGAAGCAGCAGCAAAGCACCGCTTACAGCAGCAGCAAACAGAAGCAGCAACAAAGCAGCAGCAGGCAGAGAACTTCGCCGTTGACCCCACGCCAGCACTATGCAGCAGCAACTGTGGAAGCAACAGCAGCAGCAGCAGCAGCAGCAGCAGCAACAGTAGCAGCAGCAACAGCAGCAGCAGCAGCAGCAACAATACCTCTTCCGCTGCAAAAGCTGTTGCAAAGGAACCCAGGCCGCTAGACGCCTGATACAGCAGGGGGCACGGGGTGTCCATACACCTGAAAGGGGAGTCCCCCAGTATCTCCACCAGGTCCTCCTGCTGCTGAGTTGCTGCTGCTGCGCTGCTTTTGCTGCTGAAGAAAGATGCTGGCAGCAAAGCACTAGCCAGTGACAAGACATCGTTAAAGAGAGAAATGCCGCGCCAACGGCTGCTGCCGCTGCTGCTGCCGCTGCTGCTGCCGTTACTACTGCCGCTGCTGCTGCTGCTGCTGCTGCTGCAGTCGTCTCCACTGTCGATACTGCTGCTGCTGCTGCTGCTGGAGTTGCTGTTTACTCTCAGGTCGTTGCTGCTGCGGCCTTCCACCGAGTGTTGTCGTGGTTGCTGCTGCGCATCTGCACCGTTTGAGGCTGGCTGCCGCTCTTCTGCTGCTTCTGTCGTTGCTGCAGCAGCAGCAGCAGTTGCTGCAGCAGCAGCAGCTGCTGCTGCTGCTGCGGAGCCCTCGCAGAAAACTTCTAGTGGGTTTTTGTTTATACTTGAGTGACAGCCTGTGCCCCCAGCAGCTTCACTATGGGGCCGCTCCCCGGGCCCCTCGATGGCTCTGTGGGCTTCTCTTATATAGGGCAGCGGCAGCAGTGCTGCAGCAGCAAACAGCAGCACAAAGAGCAGCTGGGCGGCTTCCTGCTGCAGGAGCGGGGGCTGCTGCTGCTGCTGCTGCTGCTGTATGCGTTCCCTTGAGCAGCGGTGCTGCCGCTGCTGCTGCAGCACCAGAGATACCAACGAACTCGCATGCAGCGGCACCTGCTGCTGCCTAGATATTGCTGCAGAAACACCCCAAGCAAGAAAAGGGTCACCTTGCGTCCAGAGGGACCCGAGAGTGGTGAAGGAGTCGTTGCCCCGCAGCAGCAAGCCTCCACATACACTGGAATCATCGGCTGCAGCGTACGGATTGCTGCTGCTGCTGCTGCTGCTGCTGCTACTGTTGCTGCTGCCTTCCAACAACCCCAGCAACACGCCGTGAAAGTGCCACCGCAGCAGCAGCAGCAGCAAAAGTCGAGCCCTTGCAACTTCAACTCCATCGCAGCAGAAAGGGCGCCTGTCGTCCTGCTGCTGCTGCTGCTCTTGCTGCTGCTGCAGTGCCTGTGCTTCAAGCAGCTGCCTGCAGTCATCAGCAGCAAGTCGGCGTCCCCCAAACCCAAGAGCCAGAGACAAAAGACAGTGTAAAAACTTAAGCAAAAAGCAGCGGAACTCTTGCGGGGTCTCTGGCAGCAGCAGCAGCTGCAGCAGCTGTAGTAGGGGTTGCGGCTTGCTGCACAGCAGCAGCAACCCCGAGATCGGCTGCAGCAGAACAATCAACGTATGTGCTGCTGTCCTCTGCTGCTGCTGCTGTGCAGACAGTGGTGCCCTGGATGAGCTAGCAGCAGCAGTGGCAGTGCTGCTGCAGCTGCTGCTAGCTGCAGGTATGGGGCTCGGTAACAGAGACCCTAGAGAAAGATAGGGGCCGAGCGCATCTGAGGGTTGCACCGGCAGTCGGTGTTGCTGCTGCTGCTGCTGCTGCTGCTGCTGGAAGAAGCTCTCAGGATAGCCCGCGATCGTAGGGTTGCTGCTGCTGGTGTTGCTGCTGATGCTGCTGCTGCTGCTGCTGCTGGCAGCCTTGCCAGCTGCTGCTGAAGATATACGCGAGAAAGCTGCACGGGGAGCACCTGAAGGCCCCCACTGAGTCGCAGCAGCATCGAAGCAGATGAAGCGAGGGAGAGAACTGAGCTGAAACGCCAGCAAAGGCCAATCCAGGCTGCTGCTGCTGCTGCTGCTGCTGCTGCTGTTTCTGTTGTTCTTGCGTCTGTTGCTGCAACTGCGTCCAGAGCGGTTGTTGCTCGCGGACCTCCTAGCTGCCTTTCCTGGTCGCGGTTCTGCAGCTGTCTCGGCAGCTGCACAAGTTGTTGCTGCTGCTCTTGCTGCTGCTGCTGCTGCTGCTGCTGCGGCTGCTGCGGCTGCTGCTGCTGCTGCGTTGCTGTACACCGAAGCCGAGCAGCTCCAGAGGTACCTGAAAAGAGACGGCGCCAGCAAAGGATGAGAGCGGCATAAGCCTGCTTCTGCTGCTGCATGCAGCAGCACGCCGAAGGCTCCGCGGCGCAGCAACGCAACAGCAGGGACAACAGCAGCAAACTTCAGCAGCACAGAGACGCAGCAAGCCATCCACTGCTGCCGCAGATGCTGCTGATCCTGCTGGCGCTGCTGCTGCTGCTGCCACAAAGAGCTTCCTAAGGAAATGTCGCTGCGAATCGTCTTTGAGCTCGGCCAGAAATGCTGCTGCTGCTGCTGCTGCTGCTGCTGCTGCTGCTGCTTGTGCTGGAAACGAGGCTGCGGCTGCCCTGCATGCCACAGCCGCAGCCGCAGCAACGCCTGCTGCTCCTGCTGCTGCAGCAGCTCAACCCCTGTTGTTCCCTCGTGAGGGCCTCGGGGCTCCGGCAAGAGGCCGCCCCCTGGTGCTGCTGCTGCTGCTGCTTCAACTGCAGCAGCAGCAAGGTTCGTCGCTGCAGCAACAAGACATGTGGGCGGGGGTACTCTGCCCCAGCCCCCCGTCAGCAGCATCCCCCACCGCAGCAGCAGCTGCAGCGCAACAGCTCGCTCCAAGTCAGCCCATTCCCTATCTTCTTGCTGCTGCTGCTGCTGTTGTTGCGTCTGCTGCTGTGCTGCTGCTTGTCGCTGCTGCTTCGGCGGCAGCAGCGGACCTGCTGCCAGCAACTGGGGGATGCACAATCGACGCAGCTGCAGCAGCTGCCTATTGGAAACCAGCAGCTGCCGCAGCAGCAGCAGCGCAGCAACGCGTACAGCTGGCTTTACAGACAGCAGCAAAGGCCGCAGCAGCCGCAGCAACTGGCTAGAAGCAGCACAGTGAATGAACTGCTTCCCCCCTAGTTCCTGCAGCAGCAACAGCAACAGCAGCAGCAGCAGCAGCAGCAGCAGCGGCGATGTAGCACAAGCTACGACACAGGCAGCCGCAGCAGCACAACCGCAGGCTCATCAGCAGCAGGAGCAACAACAGCAGCAAAGTTAACAGCAGCAGCAACCGACTGAGCAGCAGCAGCAGCAGCAGCAGCAGCAGGAAGCAGCAGCATGTATCTCACAATAAGTTCGTCTCTAACACGCAGCAACGAAGCCACCTGCATGCGGGCCAAGTCTTCTGCTTCCTCTTCTGCTGCTGCTGTGAAGGGTGTTGCTGCTGCTCTGTGTGCTGAAGGGCCCCTCCTCACACCACCCAGACCGATGCTGCTGCTGCTGCTGCTGTTGCCTTTGCTGCTGCTGCGGGGCCAGGATTCTGTTGCACTCCTCAGCAGCACCTCTGCGTTCACTGCTGCTCTGCAGCCGCTGCAGCGGCGCTGCAGCGAAGACAAGCGGACAGGGGGGCTTTCATCATCATCAGCTTTGCTGCTGCAGCTGTTGTCGCTGTTGCATGTGCTGCTGCTGCTGCTGCTGCTGCTGGTTCTACTACTACTACTGCTGCTGCTATCGTTGCTGCTGCTATCACCGCTGCTGCTGCTGCTGCTGCTGCTGCTGCTGCTGTCACTGCTGCTGCTGTCGTCGTTGCTGCCCACACACTCGTGCATCGTCTTCTCTCCTCTGCTGCTGTTGCCGTCGTGCTTGCTGTCGCTGCTGCGGAAACAGCAGCTCATGTTGCTGCTGCTGCTGCTTCTGCTGCATCCGCTGCTGCTGTTAGAGAGGCAACACACCCCTGGGTCTGAAGAAGCAGCAGCACAACCATCTGCTGCAGCATCCTGCGACTGGGGCCTCCAGTCGAAGTCACTGAACATTTCGCTGCTGTTGCTGCTGCTGCTGCTGCTGCTGCTGCTGTTGCTGCTGCTGCTGCTGTTGGTATTGCTGCTGCTGTTGCTGTCGTTGGGTCTCCATATGAGGTTCTCACTCGCATCTGATCCACCACCTTCGCTGCTGCCGCTGATGCAGCTGCTGCTGCGCGCGAAAGTTGCTGCTGCTGCTGCTGAGGCAGCAGAGACGCAGCAGCGGGGATTCACCGCCGCTGCTGCAGGAGTTTTGTGTTGCTGTCGTGCATCAGCAGCGGATGTGTTGACACTGGAGTTGCTGCTGCTGCAGTCACAGCTGATGCTGTGTCTGCTGCCACAACTGCTGGTGCTGCTGGTACTGCTGCTGCTGCTGCTCCCACAGCTGTTGCTACTGGCGGAGTTGCTGCTGCTGCTGCTGTTGCTGCTGCTGCTGTTGTCGTCGCAGCTGCTGCTGTTACTACAATTGCTACTGCTGCTAGCATCGGTCCTGCTGCTCTGAATACCCCTGCATGTGCAATTCCTGCTGCAGCAGCTGCTGCAGCTGCTGCTGCCCCCATCGTCGGCTGTCTCTCCTTCATTTCTGGGGCCCCCGGGAGCGTCGCTCCCCGGGAGCCCGCCAGGAAGAGCAGAGCCTCTCTGCATGTGGAGTTTCTCTGTATAAGGGTATCTGCATCAAGGCCTGGAGAAGCGGCGGGATCGCGATCCCCTCGTGTGGGGTGTGGTGTGTATATACACCCCCCGCGAACAGCGCGGCTGCAGAGCCCCTGAAACTCATCCCCGTGAATGCTGGGGTATTGGCACTGCTAGGGCCCCTGGGGGCCCCCCACTTTATCGCTGGGGGCCCTCAAGCCCCCCACCGGCAGCCTGTTGAGCTGAGCTTTGCTGCTGCTTGTGCGGGTACGGCGCGGCGTGCTGCTGCAGGCAAAGGGTCCTTTCTATTGGCTTCGGTGCTGCATGAAACAAACAAAGTCAACCAACAGCAGTTTCTCCAGAACAAAAACACAAAGAAGAAACTGCATGCAGCAGCTGCCCCCGCTCTCTACCGCAGACGACATCTCTCGCTGGGGCCCTGAGGCCCCCGATGGGCCCTCAATAAGAGAGAGTTCTATGGTATTTTTCCTTTTATTTTTGTGAAAAATAGACTCAAAAATAACGCAAAGTGCTAGCAGAAACCCTCAGAGCTGCCTATACACCTCAGCTCGAGACGCACAACGCTGGCTAGAGAGCAGCTGTGTGTGCTGCGCCGCAGCAGCACCGCTCTTCCTACCGGCTGCTAGTGTACACTGCTGCTTCTCTTTATCTCTCTCTTTGTCTCTGTAGATGCCCTGCAGAAGATCCCCAGGCTTGTGTAGCTGCATGCAGAGCAGAAGCTGGCCGACGCAGGGGTCAGGGCCCCCTGCTGCGTCCTTAGCTGTGCGTACACCTGCAGCAGGAGGCCTAAACTACCCCTGAAAGGGCTAGCTCTGTAGCTGGATGAGCTGCAGGTTGCTGCTGTTGCATTGGCTGCTGCAAATGCTGCTAAAGATACACACAACACTGCTCACAGTGCCACGATATATTCTAGGGGATGAGTTCGCTTAAAGGTAACAGCAGCAGCTCTAGCAACGGCAGGCACAGCAGCTGCTGCTGCTGCTGCTGCCGGTCCCTCCACGCAGTCGAGTCTGCTCTGGAGGGGGGTCGGGGCTGTGCATGCGTTTCGGTTGGCCTTAGCTGCCGTCTGGATGCACACAAGTGCCGAAGGCTCACAGCAAAGAGAGCTCTGAACACCCTTCTACTGTAGGAGCGCGTAGCAAGGCCCTTCATAGATAGCTACATATATATATATATATATATATATATATATATATATATATATATATATATATATATATATATATAATACGTATATAGATATATATAGGTTATAGGTACATGGCCAGTTTGGCTCCTGTATGTGCGAAAACGGATCAGTAGAGAGGTCAACGATAAGCTGAGCAGCTAGCTAGCTAGCTGCTCAGCTTATCGCTAGCTAGCTAGCTGGCTGCAACGTTAGCTTCCACCGATACCTAGCTAGCTGTCTAGCACGACAGCCAGAGGGGTCCTGCGAGCGATTCCTTTAGGGTTGTATATACATATATATATATATATATATATATATATATATATATAT